AAATATCTAAGACAGACTTTTTTGATTACTTTCTTGATAACACTAAATTATCTCTTCAATTGTTTAAATTGAAATGGGTCTAGCAGAAAATTGAAGCTGTTGTCCTGCCAACCAGTAAATCACCTCTTCTAGGATAAGACTGATTATCTTATTATCAGAGCTGGAATTAGTAAGTGTTGATCATGGGTAAAATATTGGCCAGTTTGATTGGTTAATCTACAGAATCTTGGTTTCATCACGTTTCATGTCAGCCCCTATTACACCTAACGTTCTTTACCTGGCAGAAACTTCATTACCCCTGCCAACACTGTGCAATGCAGAATAATTGGTGCAGATTTATGAAGCATTCATTGCCAAAATTAAAATACAATTATTTTGTTTATACTAGTGATAACTCTCATTACTTCATTAAGATTACATCTTTTTATTCTTCTGTTTATTTCGGATTTTAGTTTCATTCCACTTCTAGGACTGGCAGATCAACTTTCTATGCTAGAATTTGGAATTCTATAAACAGCAGAGCTAGACAAAGAACAGCGAACAAACGAGAATACCAATGCATCGCATGCATGGCATTTATTATTTACAATGGTCATTTTTTTTTCCACAATAATTATTGCAATTAGACTCAAGTACCTACTTGTAGAAATAAAATGGTATTCAAGAAGAGATTTAATAGAAGTCTGCATTATTTGAAAGCCTTTCAAATCATCATTAAATACCATAAATTTTTGTTTCTTTGACATTTTACACTATTGTATGTATTAAAATATACTGAATAATAAATGAGGCCTTTACAGGTAGGGGAGAAGTGCGCTTATTTACACATGTTCAACTTCATTGTCTGGAATTGATTAGAATATAATAATTAAACTGTGTGTAGACATCACCCTAGGGCGTTAAATATCCTCTTCTTTATTATGTTCTTCTAAATAATTGAACAAAAAACACATCAAGACAAAATCAGTACTGTAAAGTAAAAATCAATGTGCTGAGCTTGCAAAACAGTTGAATATCTCCTCTTTACAGATCCTTAATGTCAATGTTCATTTTAGCGCTGCGAAGCATGAAAATATGGAACATTTTTTTTAACAAACTTCTTTCCATTAATTCTGTAAATTTGGTTCTAAAATAACGGAAATTGAAATTATCACATTGATTTCCAACAGGAACCGGTCTACTTTCATCATAGACTGGTATTGAGAAATCATTGTAGAGAAAACGTAAAATCAATTGCCTATGTGACCGGGAAATTCCTCTAGGCTGTCTTACAGACCTTCTCACTTAGTTATATTTATTTTTGATGATTTAGCTAAACCACTTGGGTAATGTTTTGCTGATTTTTCATCAAAGATCAATATAGTAATGATAAGGACAAGTGGAGGGTATTGAGCTAAACAAGTTTGCATTGTTTTACAGGCAAGGAACTATGAAAATAACCCCGCAGGAACCTGCGGTAGATAATCTATTTCTCAAATTCACTTGGACAGTTAACTTGCCCTGTGGGTAAAGTAATGAATAAAATTTTCTGCCTTGAAGAGACAGCATCTCAGACACACCATATTCTTTACTTCTTTAACTAGACCTATAGATAGATGTTATACTTACATTTAACAAATAGTTTTTTTGTTTTTTGTATTTTTTTCAAATATTTTCTTCTTCTATTATTCAATATGAAACTGATATAATACAATTCACAGTATTAAAGACCTATTAGAACAGATGATCAGAAGTTTTCCATGAACAGGCTTAATAAATCTATTCCTATGACCTAAAACATTGAGCCTCTTGCCACATTGGTTGATCTTTAAGGTTTCCATCTTCAATATTTTAAGAATAATGTGAAAAGCTTGGAACCAAATGATAATATTCATTAAGTTTAAAGCTGCATTGTGTCTAAATAAACAACAATAATTGTCACCTTATGCAACAGATCTCCAGTAATGAAAGCACTCCATGTTCAATCTAATTATCTCTAACAAAACAACTTCCAGAAACAAAACTGCAGTTTAAGCTCTTAAATTATGCACCTTATTTTTAAAATGGAAGTTAACATGAAAACAAGCAGACCCTTAATGACACATTGCACACATTTTTTGGTGCCAGTCCTTCATGTCTGATAGAACAGAAGTCACAAAAGGCTTTTTTAAGTGAAATATAACACCCTATATAGCATGCACTTACTGAAACTTAAAATAGACATGTTTGTAAACCCATCTTATTTTTTTTTTTACTTAACTGACTGATTACATAGACCAATCATACCGGTAATACTAAATGTTAAACCAACCAGAAGTGATAGGCTTTTTAACCTAGTATGGAGCCTGGTCAGTCTTGTTTGTGTTTGGTCACACAATTTACACAGCAAAGGTCAAATGGTGTCTTTCAAGCTTTACTGGTGGAGTAAGACCTAAGGTGTCACAACATGAATTTATTCAGGCACAAACTGGCACCTGAGTAGAACCACTGATGTTCCTTAAGCCAGCCGGATAGCTACCTCACACTAAAGAATCCAAACTCTCTGGTGGGATTCGAACCTACAGCAGTGAGGGCCATATGGATAGAAATCAACAATATTTATCACTCAACCTTCTGAAAGTTAACTAATGAATGATCAGTGGCAATGTGTCTGAATCATAAAGTTCGATAATATCTCAATTAACCACTACACAATAGATCTAAATATTAAAATACTGCTATAATAAATGATACTAATTAGCTGTAAAATCGGAGTAATTGCTGCCATCAAAATTGCTATCAATTGTTATCACAGTATTATAAACAGATGTATTGTGTTCTGTAGAAAGGTTCACTCATTCAATTCACTTCAGTATTTCACAAAATTGGTTTTCCAGATGCATGATTTATGGTCAACTGCACTGACCATATAAATAAGTAATCATTGTAAAACCCCTAGGGAGGAACGAAGACCCTGCCCTCTCTAAATATCTGTCAATCTGCCATAGCAGCAGATCATGATTCATCCTAGCTTTGTGTGACATCCAGGGATCCCTCTGCTACCATACCTACCCCAGAGAGATGGCTTTGCCACCTTGTACTACCTGCATGCCAATCTCCAGTCAGGAGACAGTAGACTCTATGGCACCAGATAATCATGTTTTTCTGGTATGTCAATTAATGATTCAACATTGTTACTGACCACAGTGATACCATTCCCGGGAATCAACAGCTCACACTGGGAAACAAGACATTATGATTTGAATGTTTAAGGTATTTTAGGTCAGGTAAGTTCACAATCTACTTTCTGACTCATTGAAACTGTAAGACAAATGAGACACAGAGTAAGAAAAGAGATGACTTTCAGAAAAGACATTGTGGAACCATCTGACATGAATCATTGTATAGTTGTGATATATTGCAACCCCTGGAGACCTCGTACATGCCCCTATTGTCAGCAACAGCCAATAGTCATTGTGAGATATGTGTAGACAGCCAGGCACCAGCCGATGAGCTTCATTTCTCCCCATGTATCTAATTATCAGGACTGAACCACCAAACTGTCAGATCCACTGATACATTGATCAGTTACACCAACAAGGTGAACATGCAGTCTCACTGTGAAATGTTAGAAAAATAAACATGAGAAACATGTGATCGGAGACCTCTGCCTGCATGCCGAACATACATGTACTAGTTAATGTAATTTGTCAGCCCTGACATGATGAATTGCCTCACAAACTCATTAAAGACATCTCTTTTTTTTCTGAGTGAATTTTACACTTTTTACATTTCTGCATCATCTCTTTCAAGATTATAGCAATGCCTATTTAAAAAAAAAGAAATTAAACTACAACTTTCTGAACTTTATTCAGCTTGTGTAAATAAAGGCTGCATGGAACATAAAATCCGTTCATTTAAAGAAAGTTAACGTGAGATTTTCAGCAAAGAGATGAACCATAAAAGTTCCTCACCATTAACAATTATCTAAATTACTATTAATAGGCAGAGGGATTTCTTTGAAATACTTAGGGGTCCAGTTAATTTTAAGTGTTTAGATATCAAATGATACCAATAACAAATTCAAGCTTTTAAATTTGACCCTTTCATGTCATTTTAAATTAACAGGTGGTTAAAAACTGGTGGATACTTCAGACATTTAATCCAATTTTAATATCATGTGTCTATCCCTATGTCTGACCCTTCCTGGTGGAACCCTGTATTTTTTGTAAAACAGAGAGGTCCTTATCATAAAATACAATTAACTGTCTATCTTTGGCAAAATAAATAGTCAGTTATTCCCACAGTGTGTACATCAATAAGAACACTAAAATGTTTATGGTTGATATATTTGAATACTTAGTTAAGCATTTTGATAAGTGATGATGATAAAAAAAACCAACTTGGCACACTTTGTTTTTACAGAGAACAGAATTTTAGACACTTCAATTGAAGAAGTTTGGCAGCTTGTGGTGTTATCAAGTTGGTGATAAGATCATAGCTAAAGCGTGTACATAACATGTACCTGAGGTGTACCTCCAGTGAGCCAATGGTCATTCTCGAAAACCACCAGCAGTGTCTTACCTGTTTTATCAGATTTCACAGCTTCCTATTCTTACACAGCACCATCAGTTGTATCAACTGGTGATTTTGAAGAGATTATAACTTAAATACTTTCAAACTCCATACAATGTTCTTAAAGCAAACAGTGCTGCCCTATATTTCAAGTTTATCAAAGAAATGTTATGAAAATATTATTGTTTTTAGCATGAAGACATTACAGTGATAGAACGATAGCAGAAATTTAGAAGTTGTGTTTGAGCTGACAATATCAATACAGTAGAAGACAGAAAATAAATGAGATGAAAATTGGAACAAGTCCTACTGGTACCTAATAAATTTTCTTAAATGAGACGAGAAAATGTGCACATTTAAATATTGACAAGATAAAAGAACAAAGCTCCAAAGGAATTGGCAGAATGTATTTGTTTACACTATGGGGTAGAATTTAATTTTTGTTTTATCAAAGAATATAAATTTACCTGTAAAAATGACGCTGGGTCTGATTCTTTAAGCACTTCAACACAGAAGTAGAGGAGACTGGTGGTTTTCTGTAGATGACTGGTACATGTGTGGGCTTGGTCCTTCAATATCTTAACCTTCATATCACGTTCCACGCTGACAAAGTCAAGTAACTCTTGTTTACGTTGATGTATTGCCTCTATTAAAGCATCACACTGGGCAACAACCACTGACTCAAACTCCACACAATTTGCCTGAAAATTAAAAAAATAAAAACATGATCTATGAAATTCATTAAATGATCTTGAAAATCATTTTGTGCTATGAAGGATGAAACAAGTTTGTGCAGCAATCTAAATGCAGTACCAGTATAACTGTATATGACTCAAGCTATTCCATTAAACCCTTTATGAAAACCCTATGCCTTTTCATTTGAATGCTGAGACCATGAAATTTAAATGCATTTATTCTGGCATAATTAAATAAGGAGGGTGAAATGCAGAAAACGGAAATAGTGAAGAATCAGTTAATTTACATAAATTTAGCAAATCTTCAGTCTTGCTTTATAAAACAACTAAATCCATTAGTGTCAACTTTGTTGTGCTTTTTACTATGCAGAGGTTGCATTCTCTTAACATTGTGTGGGGCTTTTTTATCTTAACTTCATTTTGATTAAAAATGAGCAAAAGGGAATAAAATACGGAGCTCTTTCTAAGGTCTTGTCTTCCTGCAATTGTAACTTTTGAAACACCCACTTTCTAATTTGATTAAGAAGTGTCACCTAAATCATCTGATGAGAATTACTTTTTGCAGAACAATAATCTAAAGTGATAAATTTCCTTGTATGGCCATTTAATGTCATTTCAACACTAAAAACGCCCGATTTCTTCAAATAGGCAAATAAATGTCCCGGCAGAAATCTTAGTAAACATCTGCTTCGTCTGTGAAGTCAGCATTTTATACAATAATATATCTTGTATTTCAAGAATCTCAGCTAAATCATTGAGTATTTATTACATAATTATTCTCTGCTATACTGAAGAATGAGAGATTTGTTTAATTATACTGTACAATAAAACCTACTGAAACCTATCTTCTTTAATTACGTCAAACTTTAAATTTAAAATTAGGTAATAATCCTTCAATTTCAGTAACCTCATTTGATGTTCACAAATTAACGCTGAAGGTTGGTTAAACTTTTGTAATTCACATTATATTTATTTTGTTCTCTTAAATTTTAGATTTATTACTTTTTGTTCTAGGTTTATTATAAATTTTGAAAAAGCAAACATAAAATTTAGATCTAAAACATTAAGAGGTAAAATTCAATTAAATATGAATACAAGCTATAATGAAAGCCTTCTGAAATTATATACATGTACTTTTTTTCAATAATGTTAAATTCATGATCATAACAAAATTCGTGATCATAACAAAATTCATAAAAAAAGTTGGAGCATCATACAGCAGTCAGGACAGATAAGTTCACAGATAAATGGCGAGTAAGCAGAAATGTAATTGTAACAGAGTATCAGATTTAATCGATCATGAATATAAATTGATGATAATCATCGTAAATTACGTTATTGATTACTCATCAATCAAAATTGTAACGTAAAGTAAACCATTGCTACTGTTTCCTTACTCTGGTGAACCCACGTCAAGATTTGTTTACAAAATGCCAAGGCGTTATTGTGTATCAATTTATTCTGTAAACCAATCATCATTTTTCTCATTTTTCTAAATGTGTTCTGGTAATTGGCGCCATTTGTTTACCAACAATATAAATTGAACGATTCTATCTTACTCAATCAGGTTTTTTGCCATGATATCTATTTACACTGGTTGCCAGTTATAGAATACAAACCACAAAGATCTATTTTTTAGCTTTAATTAAAAGCAGTCAAGTTTGAAAACTTCAGGGTATCAAATTCGTAATAGGATGTATTAAGTACTTATTAAACAAGTAAACATTTAAAATGTCTCGCCAATTATCAATTAACCTTACATAATGATAACGATCTAAACAAATTAATTAATTCATGAAAATAGTGCACAATGAGTTCAGTTTTCTATAATAATACTGTTAAAGGTGATGAAAATAATTAAATCTGTCTTTACTATTTCTGACAACAACAATTATAAAATCAATTAAGGAAAGGCTTTCATTCAAAATTGATGCATGAAATATTTCAACAAAAAATTTCTAAGCTATGGTAAAGTACAAATTAACTGCAAGAAAAAAAAATTGAAAAGGAATTTGTAAATGTTATTAGAAGGTGGTATTTATAGCAGTGAAGATAGTTTCCATTTAATAAGTATAAGTCTTCGACAGAGAAGATAAAGTTAGATGTGTGGGAATCATAAATAAGAACAATAAATTGTGTTTTAAACGAGGCATAATCTAACTCTGTCATTATTTCCTCATCTATAGCCTCTTAACTGGGGATTGTTTCCGAGATAACAAGTGCAGTAAATATCTGGCTGCACATATCAGTTACGGGTGGATAAAAACTATTCTTTAATCATTATTCTCATTACAGAAACATGCGCTACATCAACAAGTTGTTGCCAAGCAACATTTAACATTGAGGTCAAAGAAAAAAAAAACAACATTTTTTTTTGGATTTTTGGCAATATTTAGTGTCTATCTTTATCTGAAGAAGCATCTTGGGTTTTTTTAAGAAGTTTATTTTATAATTAGATGGCAGATACCATCAAGTTTAATGCATATCTTTCAGCGTTTGACAGTTTCGGCTACCTGGAATAGACATGGACCTTGTTGCTGACAATAAACCTATAAAACTGACAGTTGATTCTTCCCTGAATTATTGCTAACTTGGCAAATACACTACACATACTTTATCCTTTAACTATTGCAAAACTGAGCTATTTTAATCTTGATAATAATATTAAGAAAGGTACAAGCTTAAGTGATTATTTATCAAACAATTACCACTGTACTATGTTGTGTTATGATATGTGGTGTGATATGTGAAGTTATGTGATATGTGGCATGAAATGTGGAGAAATTTTCCGATATGACATGTGCTGTGATTCAATATGATATTTAGAGTGATGTGACATGTAGTGTGATATATAAAGTGATATGATATGTTCAGTAATATGATATGTTGTGAGATGTGACATGATATGAATTAGTTAAGATGTTATATGTGTTGTGACATGTTATGTAATATATGACATGTAGTGTGACATGTTATGTAATGTGATAAAATATGTGGTGTTATATGACATGTGTTGTGATATGAGAAAAATGACATATGTGGTGTGACATGACAATTGGTATGTGTGATATGACATGTGGTATGTGTGATATGATTTATAGAATTCAATAATATGTGTAGTGATATGATATATTAAGTGATATGATAAGTGCAGTGATAAGTGATATGGTGTGATATGACATAATTATGTGGTGTGATATGATATACCATGTGACATAATATTTTGAGTGATATGGTATGTGATGTGATATGACATGTGCTGTGATGTTATATGTGCTGTGATATGATACATGAGCAAATATGCTTGTTCCCATTGTTTGACTTTTATACTTATTACTTATTACTAAACCGTATAAAACTTACAGGAATTCTTTCAGTCATTGCTTTTAATTTCTGTATAAACTCTGTTTCTGTTTTTGCTTTCTCTGACAATGCTTGTAACGTCTGTGACAGGTCAGTCTGAAAATATAAAAGATGATGCACAATAAAATACTAATACAAATGTATACAGAAAATGACAATAACTATATACCAATGTTGGTAATTTCATTTTCAATTCCTATTAAATTTAACCCCCATCAGACATAGGTTAATTAATTTTTTTTTAGGTTCTATATTAACTAAATGATACTAAAGTAGAGAAGGAAATTACCATCAGAGTGTAACTGTCATTTTTCTCATTATCTGACCACTAAATCATGCATTACTCAGTGTGCATCCCTAATAATGCAATACGAGTCCGGCTAATTTGCCAAATATAGCATCATTGTGGCTGGATAATTGAGTGTATTTTACTTTTGAGACCACTTTAAATTCATCAATGATATTACCATCATGAGATTGACCTTCGACTCACCCAGTAAAAATGCTAATCCCTTGACTAATTGTTTTGTTTCTCGAACTAAATTGAAAATAGCACCCCAAAGTCCATTAGATACTCAGCATTTGAGTGATTATACAGGAAAATGATAACAATAAGACTCATGCTATGTCACAATATTTGGTCCGATGATTACAGTATTGGAAAACTGACACTTGAATCAAATACAGAGAAAAATATATAATCTGATGTAAAATTCCCACAATTCTCCCCTGGAAACACCAAGCTTTGCTCAAATCATGACGGAAATAAGATGGTTTTTAACCCATCAAAATGTCATTAAAGAACTGTTTCAGAACATATCTCTGAAAAAAATTTAATTGCAGAAACTGAAGACTTAGAAGCTTGACAGACATATGTCGTAGTAATTGACGCTGATTTTTATAGATTTTACGAACACGTATGATTTACATTTTGCATGATCCTGCTATTAAAACATGGTAAAATTCATTATAGAAGTGTTCTAAAACATATTTTGAAATGATAGTCCGGAAATGATATGAATTATTACGAGATTTATATTCGCTACATATGTATTTCCTTTATATGAAAAAATTAAATTGCACACTGCAATGGCAGATGTTTATAACACTCAATAAGATAAAAGATTTTTACTCAACAGCGCTTTTGATAAATGCAAAGAAAGACTTGAATTAATTATAGAAAACCCTAGAAAAAAAAGTCCAGCACACATAGGGTACTGGCACGTGTTACTGGGGATGCTGTTCTTTACAATTATGAAGCAGAAAACGTAACCTTTGTCTGTGTGATGTAGAAGCTTGTATTGCACCGCATGTTGATGAGATTGATGTTATTATGATCATTGAAGTGGAACAATTAACACTTTGATGAGACAGGACAATACATGGTGATTGACAGTTGAACTATGTGTGTGGGATACGCTGATTGATGCAGTACTTGTCAATTTATATAACTTAATTAATCTGATTAATGATTTACACAGCTTTCATGTAATAATAATTATGTAGTATGGCTATAATTTATACTGGACAATGGTTGCAAAAAAAAAATCTCACTGACTGCACACTTCATGATTTTCATGTTCAAATCATCAATGAGTGAACAATAAGTTGTTCAAATCAACTATAAGTAAAACACTTTGTTCCTGTTTAAATCACCAATGAGTATTACACTTTTGCTGTTTAAATCACCAATTAGTATAATTTTAATTATTTGTTGTTCAAATCACCAAATGGTAAGTAAAACTTTGTTGTTTAAATCACCAATATGTATAGTTTCTAATGTTTAAATAGCTACTTGATAAAACTTAATTAACATTTAAATTATATTACATTTATTAACAAGCTATATAGAATAACATGGCTCGGAATTGCTTTTATATGATTCCATCATTACTGAACAGGCATATAATTGATGCATAATCTGTCTTTAATTTTCCTCCTCTCATTCAGCTACATTATAATTCCCTCACATAGAAATGATTAATGACATGTAGCAAAAACATGGCCAGTGTGGAGAATCTTATCTTACAATATATCTCCATCATTCTAACCAAGTTATAAACAATCACAACCAAAATCCATTCATTAAATATTCAGCATTTTTCTCTCTTGTTCTAGCAAACAAAAAATCACAAATTAATATTATGACATTTACCGGAATGGGGTTCAGAGCGTAATTTACAAGCAACTTGTTTCCTTGACAGAAAATTGTATGAAATGTGTAATTTATAATATGAATGAAGAGATACTCTTTGTGGCAAACTTTACAGCAAATGGCTTCATTTGCACACTGATAAAAGCACAATTACATACAGTATTTTCTATAATCATATGATGACATGCTCATTGAAGTGAAAGATTTCCAGAGCAGTGGTCTTGTGGTAGGCAAGTGTATGCTTCAGGTTGGAGAGCTCCAAGGGTCAATTCCTATAAAAGACACTTCTAATTATCCTCAATTAAGAAATATACTTGTTTTTTGTTTCACTTCAATTGGGTTTAAATGGGTAGCTGCAGAGAGTTAAGTTTAGTTATGTACTTCTATAATGTGGGCTGCCACAAGTGCAGGAAATAACTCCTTAATGAGAATGATAGATGTTTTCAGCAGCCCAGTGGCCTGGGGTAAAGCTGCAACTCAAGATAACCATAGTGTTACATTATAACATTATATAATGTTCCTGAAACTCATTATATTATGCCAATGTTGCAATGAATGCTTTTATTTATTTTCAGAATTCTCTTTTCTTCAAATTTCATTTACATTAAGATGTAAAATACTCTAGTATCCCTCAGGAAATTCCATATACAGTGAGATATTATTACTGAAATAAGTGCTGTTAAAGCATTCAGCTATCATTGAAATGATTGGTGAGATTTCATGCATGTAAATGTAGTGTGGATATCATGTAAATAGTGATCATAATCTAGCATGCTTCTTCATCAATCAACCCTTCCACTTCTCAAAATACAACTGCCTATCAAACAACAAAAACATACAACACCACTAACAAGCTTGCCACAATCTCACTCTAATCAGTTTTTCCCCTCCTTTCATCTCTAACTTTTTTTCTTCCATTTAAAAGCAGAATGTTTTCTAGAAGCATAGTGAATTCAATGGATCAATATCTAGTCAACTTTTTCTACCTTTTAAGGCATTTTACTCATGGAATTCTCTTTCAGTCAAAACCATTTTTTAAAGTCATATTTAGAGAAGATTTTGCTTTGATTAACTTGTAAAGAATATCTGAAGCAACATCAATTATTAATGAAATAAGTTGAAGATTTTCAGTTTACAAATTAGCCATAATTGTCAGAATCCTAATAAAATAGAGAAATAGCAGAATCCTGAAAGAAAGCCCAACATGGCAAAACTGAAAATGTTAAAATCCTCAAAGTTTATTGTAGAAATTTGTATGACATTATAATCTTGTTGAGGAGGTTTCAAGTCAATATTATGAATATAGTAGAATAACAGTAAGTAATCAGTAAGATTGTAGGATTGTAACAAGGTAGACATCATAATTAGTGATAAGTTATCTGATAATTGGCAATTAATTATCACTGTCAGGTAGCACTAATCACCTTGTCTTCCTCTATCTATAACCTCTAGTATGCCACCTTACATTGACACACTAATTTCTTATATAATTCCTTATATCTAACAAATCTACACATTAATTATTTATAATTTATCTCCCCTTCATGTAGATGTCTTGTTTTAGAACCAAGATAATTTGATAATACTTTCCAATCTTTCCACAATCATGATTTTCTTCATTGACATTATAATTAATTCCTGAGAAATGATATTTTAATGAATACAATACATTCTCATCAATTCAAATTTGACATTGTTTTTTTAAAGGAAAAAATAACTGAATGATTGTTTCATTTTCAACTCTGACAATATAAATCACAGAAGGAACATTATGTCTTAGAAACAAATAAATGTTTCATTCTTTAGAAAGAGCAAACATGAGTTTTAATGGTTAAGACCATGTAAGATGCCCATAACCTAAAGCAAGTAGAGAAAATGTAAAATTATTTGTGAGAAATAATGAAAATAAAAACTTATTTCTGAGGTATAATGAGCCTTTGATAGCAGAAAGTGTCATATGAATGCTTTCCTAGACATTGAGCCAAGAAAACCTTGTAGTTGAGCACAACAATTCATAAGGACAAGTTTCATTATACTCCTGGTTTCATATATCAAACATGTTCATCATACAACATGAAATAGAATCTTGTATAGAAAACACAGGAGATCAGAGAAGTAATATTTATGATATATGAATAGTGCAGCATTTAGATAAATTACACTGACATTAGATCCCTTCAACAAATGAATGAGCCGCGTCATGACAAAACCAACATAGTGCGTTCGCGACCAGCATGGATCCAGACCAGCCTGCGTATCCCTGAAGTCTGATCACGATCCATGCTGTTTGCTTACCAACCCTATTACATTAGTAGAGAAACTAATAGTAAACAGCATGGATCCAGACCAGCCTGCGCCTGCAAACGCACTATGTTGGTTTTGTCATGACACTGCTCAAATACTTTCTACTATAACTTTAAATAATGCTTTGTCATGCTGGGAGACTTCTTCTTGCTGATACCTCAAAATTCCTATCTTTACAAAATACTTCAAAATTCATACAAGTAGATAAAATCTTAAAGGTATCTGAGATAATACAAGCTGCATAGTTTATAATCTTCATAATTTTGCTGTTACAGTTTGGCTCCATGTTTCTTGCCTGATCTGTGTGTTATATCAAGGAAACAGTTAACAGTTATGAAAACAGTGATTATTTTAGTTATTTCCCCCAATGGTGTACCTATAATCAGTATAATCATGGTGATGTATTAACACAGTGCAGTAAGAGACAGGGAAGTATCAGGTGCCCCCTCATTTGGTGCCACTAATTCTAGGTGCATGTTAATCAGACCTGCAGGCAACATTTCTGTATAATGTTTGTGGTTTTAAGATTTATCTAGCTAATTACCGAGATAATGTTTCATGTTATAGTGTATGATAACTGCTTCTATAATCAACGCTAACAAAACGGTCAATTAACATCCCTTACATGAACCTAACT